GCATTTCATATTTTGCATGAGAATACGTTTCAAATCATTCTAGAAATTATCGTGGGAATTAATCGATTCAATACAAAATACTGAACTACAGTGATGTATCTCTCCTTTATTTTCATCAGTGAATTCCCATAGTTTTGTAGATTTGTTGTTGTTTTTTTCCCTTTTGGTATTCATCATCATATTGTATTGCTTTGTCTCATATTTTGTAAATCTTTGCTATTTTACCCAGCACATAATTTGTTTTGGATTTTATATCTGATACTTTTACCATCTGTGATTTCTTATTTCACTGATAACGTAGCTAGACTCACACTTGATGAGAGCCACTCGAAAAAGTTGTTCACACGCGCACAAGCTCATGCACACACATGCGCGTACAAACACGGACAGTTTACTGCATTATCTCGTCTTGCTCTATGTAATGTAACTACTTCGCTGTACATAACAGCATGTACTGATTATGGTAATCCCATAAATCATACAGATACAGGCCCATTAACTTTCCCATATTCTCTGTTTTAGATAGTCCATCTGTTTATTTTCACTATCGCTGCATTTGCTTCTTTTCTACTATCTAAATGTATATGTCTCTCCTATGTCATAAATTGGCTCACTTTTGTATTTTATTTATTTTTTTTTTCACTGACGCCCTCACTGGTTGAAGTACATGTACATCTTAATCATTGCTGCGACTACCCTTACCAAACAACCAGGTGCATGCACGCACGCACTCACGCACGCACAAACGCACAAAACCACTGGTCGGACTTTTGTTCGCCGGGTGTCTGTTTCCAGTCAAGTCAGCCTGTGTCCTTCCTGAGTCTGCGGCTCCTTCGACAGCATTGCCCTCATGTCGCAGCCCCACACGGAAACAGCAAAACAATGATTTTGAGGTGGAGTTAGTTAATGTACGTATTATTTTATTTTAGAGTTTAATATTTGGTTGTTTTTATCCCTCTCGATTCATCTTCTTACGGTAAATGAAAATAGAAACACTACCATATTTTGACAAAGATGTATGTCTGCTTTTTTTTTTGTTTTTTTTAATTTGAACATACTGTTCCTTACATCCACCCACACACAGCTGAGTCATTTGTGTGCAGTGCCAGCAGCTCCTGGTCTGTCACGTGCATACAATGCACATAAACACACACATACATTTATAGTTACCGACACTCACACCGACTCAAACCAGCGGAACACCTGTCGAAGTGCATGGCTCGCTCCAGGACACCTTCAAGTTATGAGCTCATCGGAAAAGCAATTAAAGGCAGCATAGGCCCTGCACGCTTGCGTAATGTTTTGTTTTGCTACTTGGCTTCGAAATTAACTAAACCTGTCAGAAGTCATCTAACTGACGTGAGCTGGGTTATATTTATTTATTTTCAGTTGGAGTAGCTGGACACATAGTCCCAGCACTGCCTCATGTCCAATAATGAACCAATTCTGAGGGGGCGATTAGCTGGCTAAAACACGTATACTCCCCCCTCTTCTTGATGAGCGGGTTAGGGGTGGGGGGGGGGCATGTCTTTTTTTGCCTGTCTGAAACGCTGATGGTTGGGTCACGGCCCTGTAGTTTTGATGTTGTGGCCTATTTAGGTTTGGGCCCTCTTTAACCTGTGACTTTTGTCCCCTCTTGGGAATTTGATGCTGTACACAGACTTTGCATTGTAACATAATACACGCTATATGATATAAATACATAACAAGAGTATATGCCTTATAGAGGGGTGATATGAATGAAGTATTTTAGGAGTCAAGAAGAAATAAAACTATGAGACTATGCATAACATTTTGTCTAAGGGGCCTCGCATTAGTCTGGTCTCATGATTCAACATGGACTCAGCCTGGGAGCAGCCTGATGTCAGTTAGCTGTAAAACAACACCAAGCAGCCCCACACTCTCTTTTAAGTCTACTGGTCTTAAGCCTTTGGAGAGGAAAAAAAATCACCTTTGACATTAATAGGTCCATTGTGGGTGAGTCAAGGTAAGTGTGTCCTCATATGTCTGCACATACACAGCGCAGTTCACGAGTGTTTTCTCGAGGAATAATTTATGAAGTAAGAAAAACACATCTGTTATCATTGTCATCACTTTCTGTAATTACCCATATGCCGCCCTGTTAGAGCAGAGAAAACAACAGTTAGAGTCCTGCTGAGGTTGCCCCCTAAGCATGTCAGGCTGTTCCATGATGCTGCCTTCTTCAAAGGAAGTGTCGTTCTGGGGCTGCTGTGTCTACACAATGATGGAACGAGAACAGTTGTATTAATAGCCTGGGTCTTCAAAGGCCTAAAAGGCAGGTCTACACGTATTGTGTCTCTGTGTTACTGTGAAATTAGTACAGAGATAATTGTTCGCGCTTGAAGAAAAAGAAAACGATTTCATTAAACATGCAGGGGCACATTTTCAGTTGATAAAACAATGTGTATGAAGGGAGTTTTTTGTTTGTTTTTAAATGTGAACTAGTAACACACCATACATGTTGATGTGTACTCATTTACATCAGATGAACATTTTGTGCATGACATTCATCAACAATCCTAGTTTTTATTCATACAAAAGGTCTGGCCAAACTGCCCAACACCACTTTGACTTTGTTTGGTCATTGAGCAATGGTTCCTGTGGCACTACTTTCCTCTCAGCACTTAATCCCCAACTGCTCCCTGACATTAAAACAGCAACAAACAATGTGTTATTTGTATCACTTAATTCACTTTGTGCAATTTGTCAATTCTAACACACGTTGAAGCCAATTTTGTGCCACTTTTTACAACCTAGCAACTGTGCGTCTTCCAAGAACAGCTTATTTCAATTCCAACTGTTGCAATTGGTCCTTGTGATGGTGAAATCCATTTGGCTCAAGAGAAATTACCGATATAAGTAAATGCTGTGACATGAACTCCACAGCAGGAATCCCTGCGAATGTTTGCTGAACTGTAACAGTATGAAGGACATTTTTTTTTTAAATGTGAAAGGTTCACATACTTTTTTCCAAACTCCACTGCTGCATTGTTTACATAGTGCGCTCTTTAATATGACATGTTGTCTATTGTTGTGACTTACATGTAGATCTCATTTAATGCCTACAATATTTATATAGAAATGGAGGTCATTGAAATGGGTTTCCATACTTTTTCTTGCATCTGCAGCTGTATTCTGTTTTTGTTTTGGTGTCTTGACAGCAGATAAACCTCTTTGGTTGCGATAATAGTACACATGATGCATATTTTCTGTGCTCATTTATCTCTGTAATAATAAATCAAATAGGTTGGTTGATGGCGTTGATGTTGACTTGTGGTGTGAGTCACGATTGTGCTTTATCCCGTCGAGTTTTCACCCAAGCCCTAGATTTCAAGTCAATTACCCAATACATCTTCACTATGCAGCTCATTCATTGCCTTTTGGGTTCTTTCTTGCTCACGCTGTTCTGGTCGATGATGAAACTAGTAGAAGTTGGCTTCTAGCACTACACCTAAAGCCAAGTCTTATTAGGCAGCCGCATTGTGGTGTAGCAGTTCAAGCCACAGGGCTGAGATTATGATTCCTATTTAGGAAAAGGCGAGAGTGGATGCGTGGTGACAAAAGACTGAAGGTGGAAAAAGTAGTGCAAAATGGAGGATGACAGCAATCTGGACGGTGAAGTGAGAGATTGTAATGGTAATGTGATGTGGAGGTTGTGGTACAAGGAAAGGAGGGGTGGAAGATGGATGGGAGAACACAAGGGTGGGTTATGGAATAGATTTGAATTAAGGACGGGTGCCAGAAAAGCTGTTGTTAAGGACACAAGACATTTGAGAGGTGCGAGGGGAAACATTTCAAGAGAACTGATGGAAAGTAAACTACGTCGGAAGATAGATGAAACAATAAACGAAGGATTCTTAGTTTGACTTAAGGAAAACATTTATCTCTTTTTTTTGTCAATACATCTCCATTGCACACCATGAGGATTAAACCGTTTGCACTGGGAAACAATTATTTGACACACAAAACACCTCCCCAAAAATGACCAGATTTAGTACCCATCTAGTTGTCTTGTACAACACAATCAGTACACACACATTACTTTGCACATAATTTCAGTCAATCACACCTTTTGTGCCGTAGGCACATACAAATGGCATCACAAATGACTGAACATTGTAAAAGTGAAGCCAATTAGAGCCTTATATTTACATTGTTTCACATGAATATGCTGTAATAGATGAACGTTTTCTCGTGTCGTGCGTCCGCATCTGTGTGTGTGTGTGTGTGTGTGTGTGTGTGTGTGTGTGTGTGCGTGCGTGCGTGCGTGCGTGCGTGCGTGTGTGTGTGCGTGTGTGTGCGTGCGTGCGTGCGTGTGTGTGCGTGTGTGTGATTGTCACATCTGCAAGACGGCAAACAATCAGGCTTCTCCAGTCTGGCACGCATGCACGCACACAGGCGCGCACATGCATGCACTCACACTGATTCCCCTTTGCCTTGGGGCCTGAAACAGCAGATTGGGGTCTTGTCCAAAGTACCATTAAATTTCTTGAAAGTCCTGCTGCGAGAGCTAAAACATCCTCCTGTCGTCATGCTGGGGACATTCCACGGCACGCCAGAGAGCCTGCACTAATCCTGCCGGCATGGGAATCATTATTGATAGGATCCTAACGCATTACCTCAGGGCTCGCTTATTGTTGGTCAAGATTATTATTTAAGAGTAAACCAAAACACAGCCAAAGTCTCAAGTTTCATAGAAATTTATCAGAAGAAAATGTTATTATTGGCTTAGAGTGCTACCTCTTTGAACAGTGCATTTGGAGGAAAAATAGTCCTTGCTGCTCTCCTCTCTAATAAACAGCTTTATATGCTCAAGATATGTAGGTCACACTGAGAACTGTGAGACTCGAACAAGAGTCGTCCACCTTTGCTCATGATGTCATTAATTTCACTGAATCAAATTGTTTCGTGTCACTTGAGCACTTTAGTGGGAATTGCACTTATTGAAATGGATTTTCTTCTGCTTTCTATGTGTCCAGGTGCAGTTCTCTTGGCCAGTGTCCAGGGTATATCGATCAACGTGGACCCGATCATTTGCGCGTGGCTTCTGCATCAGCCTCATAGAGGGAGCAGCAGGCAACAGCAACAGGTGTGAGATGCCTCTTTTAGTTTTGTCAGCAAGAAGCATCTTTTCCATCTTCATTTGTGTTGAAAAAATGCTGTTGCACTCCCTCTAGTGTGAGCAAATGTGGGAATGGGACAGTTTTTCTTTTTAGGCCTTGTATTATTTTTCATGTTACTGGCTTGCATGAACCCTTAATTTGAGGACACACGACACATATTTATTTTGCTGAGCAGCTCTTTTGTTAGAATAAGGTTAGTAAGATTAACGTCGTTTACTCTAGCATTTAGTAGATAAATGACATGGACACAAGAAAAGTAGCACATGGACTGGAATTCAAGATTCAAGGTCTTCATTTGTCAAATGCACAGTAAAAACAACAGTAACACTGAGGAATGCAGTTCTTATTTTGTTTGTCTCCCTCCACTGAGACACGCCTCAATGCCATTGAAGTTGGGACGGCATAAAAAACGTAAATACTTACATGACTTGCACATTCTTTTTAATGTTTATACGATTGAATTCACTGCAATGACATTTAATGTTCTGATTTACTTTGTTTTTTGCAAATAGTCATTCATTTTGAATTTGATGCCTATAATAAGTTCCAAAAAGCTGGGACAAGGACATGCCGACTGTTTTCCATCACCTTTTGTTTTCACAACACTTAATAAGCGTTTGGACCTGAGGACACTAATTGCTGAAGCTTCGTAGGTGGAATTCATTCCCATCCTTGCTTGATGGTTCAAAGTACAACTTTGGTTGCTCAACAATATGCAGTTTCCATTGTTGTGTTTTGTGCTTTATAATGTGCCACACATTTTCAAGAGCAGACAGGTTTCCCCTTTTCACTTGTCATTAACTTTAAAAATAATGGACTTGTAAGGTCAAAGTGAAAAGAGCAATGCATTTGTCACTTTGGAATTTCACTTTGACAGGATCTTATGCACTTCTGTTGTTGATTATTCTTAGGGCCGCCGCACACCAAACGATGAGGCAGAATTCCACTCGACACTCACCTAATGTGCAGGGTTCTGCCACAAAATTTCCTGAGTGGCAGTTGCACAATGTGGTGATGTCGCAAATTATAGCCAATCTTATACACGGAAGCTTTCACAGACGCGAAAAATCACTTTGCGGGTTATAAGCAAATGAGACACAGCCGTTCACCAAACCCCGCCATGTGATTGAAATACAGTTGATGGAGTACACATTAGGCTTCTCACGATCAGGCCTTTTGGGTCCGATCAGTGGCCAATGAGTTTGACTGATTGATCAGAAAATGAAACAATATGTTTATTTCCACAATTTGTATATTTATCCCCTGTTAAAGGGAAAATGCATTGTAAAAAAATATATCATCCCCCCCCAAAAAAAAAATGGATACACATATGAAATGTAATGCTTACATGTTCACAATATCTCCTTCTCTGACATTAATGAAGAAAAAAAAAACAATGCTAGTCATTCAGGTGGCCGATGCTTTTGCGAAAACTATTGCTAGCTCGGTTCAACAGCTGTAAACTAGTCCAGCCACTTACTTACCAACTACGCCAAGTAGCCTACACCTGCTCCTTTTTGGCTCGTATTGGAAGCTGGCTGTGTTGTACAAGTCCTGGTGCTCACAGACCGCAATTATTATTGTGTCCGACATTGTTTGTGCACTGTATGTGACGTAGAAAGTACATTCTCAAAGCTGTTTGGCTGCAGTGTAGCTGTATAGATTTGCCCCTATCTATCCAAACTGCATTGACTTTCAGGCATGACCGCAGTAGATCTCACATCCTCATTTGGCAAATGTTTCGTGCGTCTGTCATCAACTGAGCTATTTCTAAGTTGGTTCAAACAACACATCTGCCTGCTGGTTGCATCTGTGATTGGTTGAATGCATGTAGCCAGGAACTCACTAAACTTATGCTGAGTGATGAAAGCTACCATGAATTAAACAGATGTTAAAATTCAATACATATCACACATACTATAGGGGTAGTTCTTCTTTACATAAATCAAATGCTTTGGGGAATTTTTACCACTCGAAAACCAAATCAAACCAAAAAACCCCCTCAAACTACATGGATACTATTACTTTGTGAGTGGATGGTCGAGGGCATCGAGGTGCGTCCCAGCGTAAAGGCTTTCCACTTACACAACATGCGTCAAAACCCAAAAATAAATTCGCCTTCGGAATCACATATCCACAATGGCATCCCAGAATGACCCTGGAGTGAATGAGGTTATTATTGCTGTAATGTATTATTCGCAGATGTGATCAATATCATTGAAAGGTCGCGCAAATTATGACATAACAGTCGATCAGTGATTTTGCATAAAATCTCAAATCTTTCAAAACAGTCGCTCATATCGGTGCAAAGTCACGTACACATGATGTCTTTTACAATACATCCCGCAGTGTGCGGCGGCGCTTACAGCACGAATGCAATAACCTTGTGTCCATATCCTTTAGGTTCATTTTGCTCCTAATTCAAGTGACACCACCTTTTAGCAACTTTCTGGAAATCTGAGATAGCGGCTAATCTCATAAATTCCATTGCAGAAGCAAGGTCCAGGTCCAGTTCCCTTGGCAAAGCGGAGAGAGGATGAGGTATCGGTAGGCAGCACACCATTGGTCAAGCAGCCCTCCAATCAAGCTTCTGACTATGCAAGCAGCCCTGTCAAAACCAAGACTGTCACAGGTAATCTTACTAATCACTAAATATACCGTAGTGCCAGCTGCATCTTTGTATTTTTAGTTGTGACTACTGTATTGTATTACCATTAGACTGTGTTGTCTTGCAATTGTCACGCATGCCATGATGAGCAACAGCGATAACGGGCCCTAACATGAATGAAACAGAATCAGAAAGTAGATACAAGACTGAATTTGTGAAAAGGAAATCAATTCCAACCTTAGTGGGAGACCTGTCACAGGGAGGCAGGGATGAACTTTTGGAGCATGTTAAGTGCACAACCATCACTATCGTAGCTCGCATGAACCATTTTAAAATGCTGCTCCTGGTGTTCCAGATTCCCTTTCTTTGACAATGCCCTCGGTGCATTGTAGATCAAACCAAACTTTGATTAAAAGTACTTAAACAAAATTAAAATAAAAAAGCTTTTTTGTGGACGTGCCAGCATTGACCTGAACCGGAAGAGATCACTCCATTTTGTTGGTGCTCAGGAATTAAAGACGAAACAATCAAGAGCAGGAACTGGTATGAGATATCTGAATATTAGGTAAGACTGGAATTGCCCCTACTACAGAAGTATCCATCTGAAATTTTCAAGAGCAGCTTAAATTTTCAAGAGCTCTAAGGCGGCAATTGCTCGCGGTAATGTGACACAACGGATGCCAACAGCCATTGTGGAGGAAAAATGCGGAATTCTAATTTCGCACTCAACATAACCTAATGCCATGAAAACGTGACACCGCATTTGAAACACATCATGGCAAGGCAAGACTTATTTTAAAATATCACATTGTTACATACGATTCAACGATTTGTGGTAGTGATGCTTGTGTGTTAAATAAATTGGTGGTGTAAAAAAGGTGCAAATGGCTGTTTCAGGCCCTATTTTATGCATGCACTCCCTTTAAAAAACGGGCAACAGGTCTGTTCTCGGGATTTCTTAGATTGGCCCCAAAAAACAGGTAAATCAGACAGATGGCCAATTGTATTTGGAATAAACATAATAAATCAGGATGTCTCACAACATTTGTAGTGGCTGCATACCCTGGCTCCAACTGGCCATGCGTGGAACTTAAGATGTATCGAGAGTATGATGCTGTTTTGGTAACACATTCTGCAGAGCTACATTTGTACATTGTAATCAAGGGGTACTTTCCTCCAGGCTTTTAGTGGCTGCCTGTTAATGTGCAAGCAAATATACGTAGACACACACATCCCGCTCACTGCAGATCATTTCCCCTGAAAGCGCTCAGGGCAAGGTGATATCATGATGTAGTGTTCTTGCTGCCCGGCTCAAATCTCAGAACCAATAATCTCTGCATTTGGCAGGCAAATATGTCACTCTGTCTTTCTTCCGCTCGGGTTTTAGTGGTTGCATGTTAAATATACATGTACATGTTAAAAATACTACTGATTTGTGGAAGAAGCATGGCTGAATTAAACTGAGGCCTCTGTCATGTGGGACACGGGCTTTGCACAACAGGGTGTTTTCATGTTACGTTATCCCCCCCTCACACTTTTTTTGTCAGTGTGCAGTTCATGACAATTTTTTGTTGTTGGTTTTTTTAAAATACGTCAGAATATTGTTTCTTTGCCAGTCCTGACCATCGCACTGTTATGAACAGTGCTTTAAGAGGGAAAAAGTAGGTGGCGGGATGGCACTTAGTCGACTGTTTCCAGGTGAACTAAGAGGTGAAAACGTGTGTGTGTGTGTGTGTGTGTGTGTGT